ATTCTGCATTTTTCCCATACTAGCCACCTTTGCATATATTCCGTCACTTATAGGAAGCTTCTCTTCTACACATTCTGCTAAGCTGTGAACTTAATTGGTTGATTCATTTGAAAAATAAGCTTATAAGAAAAATATCATTTAGTCATAGTCCATTGTTTCAGCGACATCTTCCAAAGTCTTTTCCCTGTACAACTATATGCAGGAAAGTACAATTAAGAGGCAACTTAAAGCAAATTCTCTTTCTTAAATTAATTAGGCATAAAGCAATAGAATGATCACATGTATGAAGACTAAAATTGGGGGGCCTTTAGTATGGTCAAGGTCTCATTTCGTTATTTAGAGGTTGTATGACCTTGTTCTCGAAACTTGGTCATATTGTCAGGGAGGCCTAAAGGAATGCACCTTATTCAGACTCCATAGTATTCATGATACTTTCTAGAGTCGGACCGTAGACTTGGGAATGTACCAAATCCACGGTCCAAGTATCATGGATACTATTAACTCTGGGCAGGATGTGTTCTTCTAGGTCCCCCTGACAATACGACCAAGTTGCAAACACAAAGTCAACCAGCTTATACAAGACAATAGAGCAAAAGCCAATTTTTTTACACCGTTTGCATTGAAAAAAGAGCTCTATTGGCCTGTTCCATATGAAAGTATTTGCATTTAGATCCCAGACCACACTTATGTCATTGCATCTGCATTGAATTAATTTTTGTGTGTTCTATTCCTAATCATCGGGTTGATAGCAGCAGTCTTTTAGAACGTATGCATAAACAGTTTGGATGCTTCGTCTGTTTTGTTGACTCTTCTAGCTCTGCTAGGAAGTTAGACTAATTTTCGCCCTCGATGACCATGCCAAATGTCTTTATTCGAATCGAAAGCACAAGTGATTATTTCTTTTAGTCTCAGAGGATACTTACTTATTAGTCACTTTTCCAGAGCTAAATTCACTTTATTGAGTTTTTTACAGTGATAAGATTTTTGCTCAGTTTCAGGATTAAAAGCTTACGGCCAGAGAAAAGAAAACGGCCTCAGATTGTATAAAGTGCAATATTTTTGGCTCTGGGGCGACCAAGTTTAATGTTTCACTAGAGAACTACGGCTGATACGCAAAATCGCTTGGAGGTGTACGTAAAGCAGTCTTCGTTCTGATAGAGAGAATACTAGAGGCACTTAACTCTCGAAAGCTAACTCGAAATAAGGTTGCAAGGCTAAGGCATATGAATATAAAAATACCCCGTCTAAACACTTTTACTCACACCTCCCCGGTAATAATTAATATAAAGACCAAGATAATATGGTTTAGCTTCAATTTTATTTTTCTGTGTATAGCTGGTTTACCTTCGCTTTTGCAACTTAGTTGTGTTCTTAGGTAGACTCTGGAGAATGCACTCCATATTGCGTCCTCCACCAATGCTGTCATATCTTCTTCCAGAATTGGGCCTTGATCTGGTAAATTACCAGATGTTATCTTGGCATCGTAGTCGGTATCATCGATGGATAGCGCAGGCCTGGGCACCAGACAAAGTGACAAGTAGTGTCAGTCCACTCGACCATTTTTCTGTCGAAGAGTTGTGGAAATTCTCTTCCATCTCCTCTTTTGCTTATGTACATCTCATATCTATTAGTACAGTATCCTTATCATTTCCTGTCACTTTGACTGATTAGGCCTGCTCTCTATTAAAATTTGTCATTTCGCTTTTTTCTTTTAACTGCAAGTGTTATTACACTTAAGCGGGTCCATCCAAGCGTAGCTTTCTTCATCACAGATTACTAGTCTCATCTGCCAGGCTTCTTGATCAAAATTGGTGCCATTAATTGATATTCTACTTCACCGTACTCAATTTAACCTTTCCATTAATGTCTATGACAATTCATATCTTATCTAGCAAGTTAATTTCCTCCTTTCGATCCCAACTATCATATCTGTCATCCTCGAGAAATCATTCACTTCGCTTATGGTAAATAGCCTATGTCTCCTATTCAGGCTCACAATTTTACAGCTATTTTTCTTTCCTAGGCTCAAGCTTAGCAGATTTGGAGGTATGTGAAGAATAAATTGACAAATTATTTTTAATGTTTCGCAGGAAAAGATATCCAGGATATAGGCCATGATGGGTTAATGGCAAGACGGCGATTATTAGAGTAGAATAAGCGAACTTGTGAACTTCCCCAATAACTGGAGTAGCCACTAAATAAATATGATATATCTTCAAGATTCTGAAAGAAAAGAATTAATACTGTGCGTCAATTTACCCATACAGCATACATAGATAAACAAAATGGATCCCTCTATACTTAGCTTCATCAACTGATCAGGTTCCGAACAAACGCACACAGGAGAAAATGGAGCTAATAATCAACACAAGAATTGGAGGACATTGGTGACAGTTCATGAAAATACGAAGAAAA